CTCTCTCTCTCTTTAAAATTTTAAAATATTACGTTTTCTTTGAATTCCGATTTTTTTTGCGGTATTCATAAAGTGACAATTTTACCGTTTTCACCAAGTTCGAAAACGGGAACGCGGTCTACGGAAACTGCATTCCTGTATCCGAAAATACGTGACCGTCGAAGCGAAAATTCGACGAGGACGTCATCGTGTGTCGGCGAGCTTTAAGCAACAGGATGGTAAAGTGATCGTTGGCGTGCTGCCATATAGAATCATTTACTAAAAGTCACTGCTGCGCGATTGGAACGCACAGTAACGATAAACAGGATCGGAAGGATAAAATCGGATTAAATACAGAGAAACTGATTTGAAATTAAATACGCACGATTTGTATATAATAAACGATTGTATAAAAAAAGCCGAATTGAGATATCAAATCAAGTAGCTTATCGAAGTTACTTATTTGCCTATTAAAAAAAGTAATATGCGAAGGCAAGGAAATAAATTGCTACCTTAACTTAGTATTTCCATACAAGTGAAAAGAAAATTTAAAAAAACATCTAAAAGAATATTTAAAACTCAAAAATTATATAGTGTTTTTTTTTTTCTAATGAGGAATGACCGTCAATTTGATGTCGAATTGCCGATCATTTCTCATTGGATTGAATATTCGTTTATTATATACAAATCACACAGGTTTAATTTCTATCAGTTTTATAAAACCTTTTTGTTGAAGTAAAAAAACGTTTCGGTACAACCGGTAATCTATTTCCACATCCTGTTCCTTTTTTAAAAAATTCAAGAAAATTAATCTGATAGAGAAAAGAAAGAGTGTTCACTGTTAAATTCATAATATATCCACAATTTGAGTTATTTTTAATCATTTCTATAGGTTACCACTGTTCCTACTCAAGAATTGATAAAGTGAACCGCGATGTGGAAAGAACAAGTCGATGAATGAAACTGTTTTTGTTAAAATTCCCAATTCTTTCATTCGATCGATTCCTTGGCAATCCCATTCATTCGTTGTTAAACGGAAAGTTCGCGCGAAATCGCATGGTAATCTCGACGAGGAATCTCTGTGACGAACGAAACGCAAGCACTTCCTCGCAGTAGCATTCGGAGACGTCTACCTACACGCTGTAACTCGCCTATTTATAAAATGCGACCTCGTGGCATACACCGTGTTCGCCACTACCGCCTACCTATCATGGTCGTCCCGCGTGCAAATCAGCGCGCTGTCTAGCTCGCTTCTTCCTAATTTCCGAACGTACGAAAAACAGGTCAGAGCTATTTTAGCGCGAAACGGCCCCCAAAGCCTCGAAAGTGTCGACGACGATGTCTCGTTAGAACGAACGGTGTACCACGTGTGTGCACTACCGTTTCTACTTCACTCTTCCGCCTCTGTTATCCTTGATAACGAACAAGTCTTTCGATCTGGGAAGAATTTAGAATAAATCTGGGAACGTCACGAAGAAGAAGGTAGGAGTTTGATTCATGTGCCACGCGATCGGCTAGACTTTAATCCGCTTGCGATTCCTGTATCGCATACCTGATATGACATCGGATTAATTGTAATGTGATCATACCTGTGAATTAAATACCTCATAAGGTCGCCTAATACTTTTATCGTAAAAATTAAAATTTTGAAAAATTAAAAAAAAAAACAACGTGAACATATTTATCAAAATATATTGATAACACATAGCATACTTAATAAATTTTAGTTTATAATTTAAAGAACAATATAGGTGAAATATTACAATTTCGTAGACAACTCATAGACGTATCGTTTTACATTACATAAGTATGACAAATGATTTTGTAAACTATATCAAACTTACACGAAGATCCACAACTCGGAAATTTAAAAAATTATGAAATTTTTACAATATAAGCCATGTTAAAAATATAAGAATATTAAGAATATATTCCTCCTGCGGTTAAGTTAACACATTTTTTAAAATAATTCTTTAAATAAGTGATAAATTTTATTTGAAGAAATATATTTTCTTGATCAATTTTGTTCTATTATTTTTTTTCTTCGATAAGTAAAAAAACAAAAACGAAAAATAGATCGAAAAATTTCAGGAGTTGATTTTACCTCTTTAGGATAAATTTTGACAGTAAAAAGGTATTATTATACGTATATTAGAACATCATCTGTGTACTGTCAAAGTTTTATAATTTTTTTTTAATCATGAGATCTTCTATTATATACATATATATAGTTAAATTGAAAATTAGAAAAATAAAAAATTTTGTTGCTCCAAGATTTTTAAATAAAACAATGATAAATTTTTTACTTTGATATTAATAGGAAGAAAATGAAATTGCAAATATTATTGTTTCCTAATAGCTGTGTGTACTTTTCTAGGCGTCCAGTCGGTGCAGTGTGCTGAAATGTCGGAAATAGAAGGTGAGGGCCTCTTTACGAGCTCTGTCACGACCATGTTGCTTGAGTATCATCGTAGATAGATAAACAAGTGTCAGTGGAGGAAGTCACGGGAACGGGAGTAATTCAGCGTATGCGTGCAAAAATGTAATGTTCAATATGATCAACATAATGTGTAACGGAATGCAGAGCGTATATTAACCAAAGATTCTGGATTCCGCATTCGCTCGCACAATCAAAACGTACCTCTGTCTACTGCCTCTGGGGTGCAAACAGTTTACATCCTGTCGCATTTCCGTGATATATAATGCCGCTATGTTCGCCACTGCACTGATGTTTATTAACAAGAAGCGTTCGCCGAGCTACGTCATCGATCTTTATAAAACTCTGCCTGTCTTATACGAAATCGACCAAAAATAATAAGAATCATCATATTTATTCTTTTCTTGTCGACTGAGATTAAAGAAACACCTAAGTTCAGTATATTTTCATCCAGTCACTTTACAATTTTTTTCCAAACACGATGCTTTAAATATTAAATTATAAGAATATTTATAAAAAAAAAAATAAAATAATGAGAGATTGCATTTTATTTTATGTACTTTCAGTCTTTGGAGTTATACAGAAATTGGATGTAAATTTTTTAGAAATATGAACATATTGTCGAACGTTAAAACATTCTTTGTCATGACATATAAAATTTCATTTAAAAAATTTCGACTAACGCATCGAGAGAACTTTAATCTTTTAAGCCGTTGCATTCATTCATCAAAAGAAACATCTTTCATTGCGGATGATCGCTTCTCTTCTCTTTTCGATTAACGTACATGCGCTTGTATTGCTAAATGTATATTATCTTTAATTCGTTTTTGCAGATTCGCAGGACGCTTCGGAGCAGGATGATACACAAGATGAAACCACGGAAACAACGGAAGTTGACCATGAGGTAGCAAGCAAGATAGAGGAATCGGATAACTCAGAGTTGTCAGAAAAATTATTTACGAAGGAAACAGAGGAGGAACGAGAGAAAGTTAACGACAAGGAACAAGAGGAAGTTAAGGAGAAGGAACGAGAAGAAGTAAAAGCGACGGAACAGGAAGAAATAAAGGAACAAGAAGAAGAAAAAATTAAAGAAACAAAAGCGAGAGAGACGCCAAGTTGCGAAGAGACGCAAAAGGAAGAAACGTCGGTCTCAGGTTGGTAATGTTGGTGATGAGTACTTCGTTCTACTTATCGCACACATACTTAACATTAAGAAGTAATTTTATAGTCATCTTGAGATTGAAAAAATTTTATACGAGAAAATTATTTAACGTCAAATGTAAATTTTATACGAGATGCAACATGACTTAAGTCTAATATAAAAATATTAAGTAATTAAATATTAATGCAAAAATTATGCAAACAGCAATATCACTATAATGTGTTATAATGTTGGTCTAAGAAGAGTCACACAAATTTGCATCATACACTTTTAACATATGAAATTAAAAAACTAAAGAATTGCTCTTAAATGTTATATGTTTATAATTCATTCGGGGAACGAGATACATTGTAGCAAAATGTATCGCGAAAGTGCGCTAGAATTCGAAGCGTACTCTTTGGTTTCTGAGAATTCGAAAATTTGATCTCGTGCCATCGTGTTTTTGTTACCTCCTTCCAATATTAGATATCTTGGTACAATTAAACTTGGAAAAAGGATTATAAAGCGTGCACGCCGAATCTAGATAAATAAAACAATTTTATTAAATAAATATATAAAATGAGGCTCGAAAGAATCTATCAGTGAAAAATGTAAAAAAGCCCATCAGAGCCCATCAGCTGTTCGGATAGCCTCTGATGGGCTTTTTTACATTTTTCAATTTTATTAAACTTATTGTTAGTATTAATTACTTAAGGACAATTAGAAAATGAAAATCATAAACAGGCATGCTTCTTTAATGTACTAAATAATTCGTGTGAATTTACACATATGTCTAATTCTGCAAACTGCGCGCTTAATTTAAAAAAGACATTTTGCCGCGTTTTCGAAAACTTAAGAGTTTACAATTCGTCCTTATATCAAAGTTGTTCAAATAACGTCTTTAAAATGCTAATATGACTTTGTAATTGATTTATCACTATAATCAATAATTAATTAAGATGGTCTTAAATATAAAAATGAACTATGAATACCGACCATAGTTTCTGTTAACTTCAGGCTTGACTCTTTAGTCAAGAAAAATTAATTTATAAACAATAAAAATCTTATTGGACCGTTTTATGTGAATATACAACTAATAGGAAATAAAAGCCATACTGGATCTTTGGTGCTTAAATAATTCGATGTGAATTTATATACTACGTATCAAATTCTGTTAAATTGCGCGTCGAATTGATTTTTCGGTCTTAAACGAAACTTTATACCGTACATATCAAATTGAATTGTCAAGCAATTTAATAATTTGATGCTCATAGGCATCTTAGAAAGATCTTAATAATATTGATGAACATATTAAAATCTGTAAACAATTTATTGCAAAAAACATTATCTCGACCGAAGGCTTAGTGATATTCTTCGCAATAATCAATATATATCTATAGAAACAAAAATTAATTTACTTTTACTATCTAGATAACGGTCATGTAATTTTTTTTAGGGCAGAAATGTGAAAAGCGAAAAATTTCTCCATTACATTCGATAATTTTCACTTTTCACCTTTTCGCTTTAAGGAGAAAATTATATGATCATTGTTCCCTGGATTCAAAGTTAGAAAATTCTTCATTTGAAATTAATTTGTGCGTTTCTAGGATATCTCGCGCGCCGGTTAAAATAGAAATTCTATTAATTTTGAAGAAATTGCCGACAAACTTACGCATTGCGTTCACGGTGTGTTTACTCTGTCGCGCTTGTCGGAACCAATCGGCGTTGCTCACTAAGTCGTCGACGTGTTTGCGTTAGCGCTGCCATTATTCGCATAGACGTTCAAGCGTTCAAGCGTTTATTTGAATAGCGACGTCAGCGGATAGTTCAGCACGGATATACGGCGATCTGCGTTTCGCGGTATGTTTCAAGGAAATCTAAACTTTCTTACGCGCGAACTATTTCGGTCGCGTTACAGGTTCCCGCGTTATTTACAAATCTTACGTTCTCGCGGCGATATACAATTACACAGTTACCTGATACTACAATGGAAATGCCCGATATAAATTCTCAGAATATGAAATATTGTTACGTACTACAAAGACTGAAATAGAATTATTTCTTGGAGGACTAGGTTTCCCTTAAGCATCTTTTAAAATAATTACAATAGTGAATAATGTACAGAAAAATTTACAAGAACGCAATAAAGCAGTGTATGTGTGAATAGAGAGAGAGAGAGAGAGAGAGAGAGAGAGAGAGAGAGAAGCAAAAAATAGGAATTAGGAAGGAGGAAGAGACAAGAATGTAGAAATAGCAAAGAGACAATGCTTTTAGATCAGGACAATGAACGGAATAAAAAAAGATCAAATAGTGTGTGAAGAAAGAGAGCAGAAAAATTGGCACAAAGATCCAATAGAAGAGAAATAACACAAACTGGACGTTAGTATGTATAAAATGGAAAATTTGTATTGTCTTTAGTTTTAAAGTTTTCCGATCTTTCCGTAAATTAAAATGTGTCGTTTTTCGGACGGGTTTTGCTATCCGCAAAAAGAAGGCTGCGAAAGCTTTTCCATCCGGAAAGAGAAATGAAATGGGCGGTGGAGCGAAGTAGAACGCAACAACTGGGGTGCAACCAATGTTATGTATCTATGCGTACATTCGTCTGCCGCCTTCTCTCATTCTTAAATAGAACAACGAGTTAAGTGGAATATATATATTTTCTGGATAAATGTTTTATAATAAACTTATAATCGAGACCGCAGTAAACGTAGGGGACTTTCAAACAACAATGACGCGTAGGGAGGGAAACGAGAACAGCTTATTGTTAGCCAGCGTCACTTTTGTCAAATCATAACGTCATGCAGCCTCAATTCTGACGTTATTTCGCAACCGTCATTTTATTTACGCCTCCATTTCCAAAAATAAAAATACGAAGCTACATGCGGTTGCATTAATGGTTACAACAACGCAATAACAAGATTAATGGAACAGGCGAGGCGAGGTAGTAAGCCTTTATTAGACGATCCCAACTGTGCAAAATCACGCGATAAAGAAACGCGCCAGCGTTTTCAGCTTTGTGACTCCTCTTGTACACGCGGGTAGTTTCGCGGTTTCACCATAGCTCGCCTCGCCTCGCCTCGCCTCGCACCGCCTCGCACCGCCTCATCCCGCTTCGCTTCGCTTCGCGCAGCAGCTGCACAGGCGTCGAACGAGCGACCGAAAATAAATCCCCGCGGAGAGAGAATCCCCGTACGTTGTTTTAAATAAAGCGAGCACGCGCGCGATAACCGAAGCCGGTCAGGGCGCGCGTTTGGTCGCGATCTCCGCTCGCGCGCGCCGCTCTCTCTCTCTCTCTCTCTCTCTCTCTCTCTCTTTCTTTCTTCTCTTCGCGAGCGACGAGTCGCGAAGAAATCGCGCGTCGGCGCGCAACAGCAGTAGCGGCAGCGCGGCAGACGATCGCGATCGGGTAAAAATACGGTGTACCAATAGCGCGTTAAAATTCACTGCGCGATTATTCGCTACCACGCATCCCATAAGAAAGGGAAGATTAACGGTGCGTAATCGCGGTACGTTCGAACAACGTCCGAGATGATCGAAGCGCTCGCGCCGCGAATTCGCGACAGATGCGACGCGCAGGACGGATTGTCACGCGCAAAAACCGGTTGTTTTACAATGCTTCTAACAAACTGCCCCGCGACCCGCACCCAGCTCGTACGACGCTCTTAAAACGCGCGACGCGTTGACGTGCCACAGGGAGACGTGCTGAAGCAGTTGGACGTGCGAGGTCTTGACGCAATGCGTGTCTCTTCGTGAAGCGATAAGAGTGCGAAGCGTGTTACATCGGAAAACGCGGTGATGACATGTGGAAATAACGCGTTTTCTTCTTTTCCTTTTGTTCCGATTTAGCCATTTGGTGGACACCATATTTGTTAAAATTTACAGTCCAATTTCTCTCGTAAACTGATATCGTTTCGGTAGGAAAACAGAGTTTTCTTCAATTACAACGATATTTTACCATTGGTTTATTTATTGTTTTCACAGTTCGAAAATTTGTGTTAAATTTAATACATTTCACACGTTCCAAACGGTCCACTCAAATTTTTGTGTTAATTTAATATAAGATGAATATGTTAGAAAGTAACATAAATATTATGTAAAAAAAATTTGCACAAAAAACGAAACTGACACAATTTGTAAGCGATCATATTTTTTTATTAAAATTAACACATGCTTTAATAAATTTAACATTTTTTAAATATGTTCAATTAACTTATTGTATTTTATTAATTTATTCACGTTTTAAAAAAATTTTATATTTTTATATTATTTGTCCATTTATTCATAAATTATATTATTTTAATACTAAAAAAGATTGGATATCAATTCAATATAAAATATTTAAATAACACAATCACATTCTGTTAAATTAACATTCGGATATATTAAAAATTCAACAGAAAATTTTAACAAAGATTTAAGTGGACCGTTTTTAAGAGAAATATATAATATTTCTTACTAGATGGTACATCCGAGTACGATAGATTATTGTTATTTACAATATTATTGTTAGAATAATTCACACTACATAGACTCGCACTTCTTTTCAATCGCACGATAAATATATACGTGGAATGTAATCCGAATGTAAAGCGTGGCATAAATGGTGCTTTTCGGAAACGAATGTTGAAAGCTCGGAAAGATCTTGACGAGAATCTCTGTTGAAACATTAAATCGTTATGAAGTATTATCAGGAAACGAGACGCGAATAAAGTATTTTCAGGAAACGAGATGCCTAAATCATCGACGCGAGATATCGAATGTACATAATTCAGTCTTCGAGAAGCACCACTTGTCAAGATTTATGCTCGGACTCTTCAATCGCGGATTAAAAATAGCGATCGTTCTGGCAGAAAAGCAGTGAGTTTTCTTCCGCTGTCGGCTAGCAAAGCAGTATCTTGCCGTTGGCAACATTTTATCCACATAATCTAAAAACATATAGGTATGAATTTTCACACTTGCGTAAAAGCATAATTTTATTCTGATGTTATTACAGAGTTTACCTTGTTAATTAATTTTTTATACATATAATATCTTTTATATATCTAGTATTTGTATGTATATAATTTTCAACAACTTATTATTTTATATGTATTACAATGGAATAGAAAATAAAAGATTGCCACCTCTCTGGATTTCAATGGATTGACAATCAGTCTCCAGTAAGATAGTGAGAGCTTCGGCAAGAAAGGTGGCAATCATTTACAACCCTTAAAAATCATTCTTTTTTTACTTATGATTTTGACTGTAACTTTCTTTTATGAAATTAATTCTTTTCTTGTGATATAGATAGGAGAAGTAAAACTTACTTATATTAACTAAAAAATCCTGCTTTTTTGTTTGTGTTAATTTTTAAATAAGGGAGCGATATAAAGTGTAAATTGTGTAGTTTACATGGAGAGCGCGATATAAACTGTATGATTTATATAAAGATGCTCAAAATATGTATTTTTGTTATACAATCTAATCATTACATACACATATAGTACAACACTCTTAAAATATAACAGCGTTAAAATTTATAATTCAATAATATAACGAAATTAACAGCTGCAGATAATTGAAAAGGTATTCTAAATGAAAATCTTCTCAAATTAAATCGGCCATTTCAGTCAATAACTAGTAAAGTTCGACATATGAATCGCATCATCCTAGATAATCTAATTAAATAGACTCAATGCGATTACCCGAATGCGATTCTGAATTATCATTGGATTTGTTCGTCTTCAGCAGAGCTGGCGACCGTCACGAGAAGCGCGTCGTCGGATGACGGCGTGCCGGTGTCGGGGGTGCTCGCGAGGCAGGCGGAACCGGGTACAGGGGTACCACTGGCAACCACCGTCAGCGACGGAGACGGACAGCAGCGTCGCGTCAGCAGCGGTACTAGCTCGGCAGTCGGTGAGTGGAATTCATTGCCGGTACTGGTAGAACGTCTACGCGAGGCGCTCGAGTTGTCCCTGGCAGCGGGTTGCCGGCGAGGCAGCGACGAGCCGACGGCGACGTCGCATCGCGGCGTCAACGTCGGCATCGACGGGGTCGGCGACCGATCCTGCGCGCACCGTTCTATGGAACAGGTGCTTTTCGGCAGCGACCACGACGTACCCGTGTCGAGGAAGGACGAGCTCAAGTTCCTGGAAGATTTGCTGCTGTCGGATATCCAGACTGCGCTCTCCCGTCTGCGCGAGACGCTCGAACGCACGGACGTCGCGACGCTCACGAAGCACGGCGGGGTATCAGATCCCACGAGTAAGCTACACCTCTTGCGGCTGGTATCGAGCTTACTGTCGCGGCTGCAGGTGCCGGTGGAAGAGAAGGGATCGAGCAGCCACGAGGGCGACAGGACGATCGGCATCGTGGCGCAGAACGGTGGCGGCTGTACGCTACCTGGACGAAGACGGCGAGCTGTCAGACACACCATCGGCGTTTCCGCCGAAGAGATCGCACGCGCGAGGAGGCAGCTGGAGGAGAGCAGCGCGGACTTAGCGAGATTGAATGACCAGGTGTTCCAGATTGAACGACCTGAACCATTGCCGTCTGCAGCGTCGCGTAACGCGACGATCTGCGACGAAAGACCGCACGTGGAGGAGATCCACGACAAATATACGAAGGACGTGATCAATCAGCGTCAGTCGTTGCGCGACAGGAACAAGGATACGAGTGAATATCATCGGTCACTGATTCCGCCACAGGTTGGTTACGTGGATCGGCCGGTAGTCGCGCTCAGAACGACGGACGAATCGAATACGCGGCAGATTCAACATCGGGACAGCGTCAACGGTTACCAGGAGAACCAGGTGAGCAACGACGAGGAAACCGCGATTAAGAGGACGAGCGAGGAGCAGAGTCAGGCGACGAAACTTGCGGCGGCACTTCGGCAACGCGCGGAACTGATCAGCGCTAGCAAATGCAATAGCGGCAGCAACAAGTTCGCAGCGAAAAAGTCGAAAATCAAGCGCGCCAATACCGTCGACATACCGAGCTACCTAAAGTTACAGGCCGACAGTCTCGGTTACGACAATCCTGGCTGCGCAGTCCTGCGACGTCCCATCAACGTGGGCGATAAGATTTCTACGAACGCGTCCAATCTTGGCGTGCCGTCATTCCATCCGAGAACGGAGAATGACAAGAAGTTCCTGGCGTTGATCAACCGGAACAACGAGACGCAGACAACGTACAACGCTACGCCTGCCTTTGCCAAATCCTTCGGCTATACCAAAGCGACAGACATGGCGCAGCCGAACGAGAACTGGAACAGCCGATTTTCGAACATCAAGACCGCTTTCGACAAGCCTTCGTCCACGAATGATATCGACAAGTTATCACCGAGACTGCAAAACACCGCGAAACGCTTCCCAAATACTCCTCAAACGTCTCCTCAGATTCCTCAGGTGAACAAGAAGATGCCGACCAGTGGCGGCACGACGAACAACAGCTTACCGTTCGCAAACGCGAACGTGCCGCAGCCGGACGCGGGCTTCAGACACGCGCCTTCGTCGCTGTTTCGAAAGATCGAGAAGCCATGTACACCGAAATCCCCGCTCGGTCATCACTGGCAAAGGGACAACGCACTACCGCCCGGAAACTCCTTGCGCGAGAAGGCCAAGATATTCGACCGAAACGGTAATCAATCTCATCCGCCGCCGTTCAACGTGAACGAGAGTATCCAGAAATCTGCTTTCCCTCGACCACCATGGATCGAACACGACAAAAACGAGAATAAACCGAATAAGATGGTCACCGAGAACGGACGGCTCGATTATCGATTATTCTGCAAGCAGTTCGCGCCCTTTATCGGCAAGAACACCGCCCCGGAAGCCGAAAGCATCGAGAATTCTTGCAAGCGCAACGAACGCTCGAACGCACATCGCAAGAACTTGGCGCCATTGAACGAGAAGCTCGGCGTGGTGGATGGAAAAATTTCCTTCAGGATGTTCCCTGAGAAAGGAGCGCAGGTATCGCGATATCGCCCGAACGAGCCGCGGCGCACGATTGAGGAATCGATTCGAGACAAATCTGATTTTCATAGCGAGAGGAATGTCTTCGAACCACTAAACGCAGCGCGCAATGATAAGGACTCAGTCGGAACCACATTCGCGGGCAACGCACCGATCGATGCGATGTTCAGAGGTAGCTCGTCTGTGGCCATACAGACTGGTATCGACGACGATGGTCATCCTGAAGAGGCACGAGTGTTTCGAGTGACTCCTAAGGTCGCAAAGGGACCGCCGTCTGCGTACAACAATGTGTCTGTTCAAACTCACAACGAACAGGAAACCAAAGAACACTGGACGGCTCTTCAATGTAACGACGCTGTTCCAACATCAGACTTGAGTTATCGTCCTACTGGGGACTCGAGTCATTTCGTCTTGGATCACAATCGAAATTATACCGTACCGACCGACATCGCTTTGAGAAACGAAACTCTGCCCTTAACGAGCAAGAATACTTGCGATCTTATCAAGAAAGGCACCATTTGCGTGCCGTATTCGACGGAGAACGTCCCCTTTTCAGCTACTTCCGATCATCAATCGTCAGAACAGCACGAACTAGTCTTTCGAACGAGTCCGCGATGCGAAAATTATTTCTCACCTAAATCGGCGATTGATAATCGATCGCCAATATACCCGACTTATATCCCGTACGTTAAATTTCATAAAGATCCGTTCGAGGATCAGACGCCAAGCGCGTCGCACGAGACCGACAAGGAAGATTTCCTGTGTACGAGCGACGGCGCTTTGCCAGAGGAACAGAATATACAAAATCAGGATATCAGTGCGGACACCGGCGTCGTTACACGGTACACCTGTGCGATCGCTACTGTTGCATCCGAGGACGTTCCAGCGACACGCGTCGACGGAACTAGACCGGAATCCGGAATGTCACCATCTGAAATATCCTCCTCCTCGTCGCCCTCACAGCTCTGGCCGTATCCCAAATCACCTAATAGCGAGACCATCACGACCGAAAACGAAATACGTCGACACAACTTGCTGCAACAGAGCCTGGTCCGACAGTTGCAAAACGAGCGAGCGACGCTGAACGATTATCATACGCCTGTCGTCAACCAATCTAGCAATTTTAATCAGCCTAGTTTTCATCAATCTGACAGTTTTAATCAATCTCTGAGATTCCAACCCGTAGAAGTGCCGAAAAGCCCGGAACCACCAAAAAGACCGGAACTGCCGAAAAAACCGGAACCACCGAAAAGATCGGAATTATCGAGGAAGTTGGAACCTTCAAGGAAGTTAGAACCTTCGAGGAAATTGGAACCGTCGAGAAAGTTGGAATCATCGAGGAAGTTGGAACCGTCGAGAAAGTTGGAACCACCAAGAAAATTCGAGACATCGAGAAGGTTGGAGCCGACAAGAAAATTCGAGCCTCCAACGGTTGTCACCGGTTTGCTGTCAGTAGCGTCATCCTCTGGATTCAGCTCGAAGAATCGGATTACCGCTCTCAGAGAACAATATGAGCAACCGGGCAGTCAATCGAAATCCGTGCAAAAGGAACGCTCGCCAGTCCCGAATGGAACGAGCGGCGCGATGGATTCCAGCGACGAATATCTTGTGTCCTGTACCAACAGACCGTCTAGATCCATCGTCCTGTCCAAGTCCGAATCATGGCATCAGCTGGCACTCTCGAAGACCCATCACGCTCCGTCGCGTCCAGTACAGAGCAACTTACCGCCGCCATCTCTCGCCGGCACCGGATCTTATCTTCCCAAACCACCCAAGCCAAAGTCACCATCGTCCTTCAAGATGAAAAAGCAATACGAGGCATCCTCGTCTTTGGACAGCGTGAAAAAGATGGAGGATAAAATACGCAGATATTTCGATAATCCAGCAAACGACGGTGCCATGGAGACGAAGGATTCCAAGGGTAGACGTTTCTCGTCGCGCGATTCAGTGAAAAAAGGTCTCGTTGGCCTATCCCGAAGTCGCACTATGCCAGGAATATGCGAAGAAAGTCTGCGCCTGACGATCCCGGCGGTGCCACAGATTTCCGTGGCGAGCCTCAATAGTGCCGACGTGGACAAAGTGTTCGATGACATCTTCGAAGAGGCCACCAGGACTGACGACCGCTTCTGATCGACTGATCCTCATCGTCGTGAGATGTCGGCGTGATGTTTCACTTGGGAGACTTGGTGACGGTAAAAGTGGTGTCCGTTCGGGATTTTTGCGAGTAATTTTTCGAGAACCGACGATATTTCGCGCTGTGTTGAACATCGTGATAAGAATAACGATTCTACGACCGTCATTAATCTCATCATAAGTATGCAACATAATTGATTGATAACATGGATCGTTAAACTGTGATCTTGTCTACTTTAATTCGCCTGCTGTCAACAGTTGTAATTCAGGACGCATCGTTACGTACATAGCCGGTTAATTCTAATCAGATCGTTTACATTAGGAGTTTGCATACAATTATTGTTGGTCACTTATTTTCACAAGACTTTCTGTAAGCGTTAACTAAGATTTTCAGATTAACTGAGATTTAACTGTTCTTTTACTTCCCTTCAAGTTAGCTTCAACTAGTGTTTTGAGAATAGCCCACAGTACTTCTTTAAAAAAATCCGGTATTATTTATTTAACTGCATTTTGTATAAAATGCTACGTGTTTCAATCTACAAATTTGTCACTTTTTATGGATAATTTAAAAGAAACTGAAGATAGTTACGTGAGTTTGAAATCTAATCTAATTTGCCACGCGTAATTCTCGCATAATTCTCTCGTAATCGAGAAGTACTAGCTCTTTTCGTACTCGTAGCTCGCAATGTTAGAATAGATCTAACAGATCTGATTAGAAGCCGCATCTTTGAGGGACAAAAGCATTTGACGATGCCGTTCTCGAAGCTACATAGTCCTCTACGAAAGCAGTACGTTTTCTTGCACAGCGGAATTGGCCGATACATGGTCTTCGTCCATTACGAGAGACGGTAGTGCAAATAGATTCAACGACCATTGTCACCGCCGGTGTCCACCATCCCATCTCACTCTTCGTTCTTCTCGCTCAAGATCATCATGTGAGCGCGAAAAAGTCGAGCAATATGGAGCCACTTATGCGAAATCTGCTGTAACCAGCAAGAAATAAAGAACATCATGCAGCACATCAGTTACATCGCCGTTATTCGGCTCGATGCACGTAATCTAACTACGAGCCACAAAATCTACGTATAAAACAGCCACATGATTTACACGTACGATGCTCGTGACCCGCGTGCTCCTCCCCTTTCTCTCAACTTTTCCTCTCAATATTTTTTCTTCTCTCTCTCTCTCTCTCTCTCTCTTTTTTTTTATTTAAACCCAAGTCGCGAGCGCACATTCTCGCGGACGGAGTCGCTAAGAGGACCATGCCAATCCCCGAATAAAGCAGTGAGTCACAGCCCTTATTTTGGTTGATCCTTTTGTTACGCAGTGGCGTATACAGTTTGCACTGCTACGAGTGTGTCTAAGAGTGTAATCGTAATGTACGCGCGCTGGTACAATTGCAGAGCATAGCGATGCTGTGGTGTGGCCTGAGCAACTCAGCTCAGATCTCTCGAAAACATCCCCCGAAAATAACGGGCGCTGATCAAAAATCAAAGGCGATATTTTTCCGTCACTTAAGACTCGACGACGCGCAAGTACAGTTGTATACTTCGCACTAATTCGCGGAATGTATTACATCCAAGTAGCCAATGTTTCCGAAAATTTAATAGAATTCTTTATATTCATGAAATATATTGTAGTGCGCGCAATAATGAAAAATTAATAATTACAATTACATACGCATGTAATGTTTTCTAATATAACATATTACATTTGTCATCTTTTTTTCTTTACACAAAGAATGAAAATTAAGCAAGCTTTTTGGACGGATGTTTTTACACGGAGGACTTATGCTATTGAGCTGGAGACAATCTTATTATGAAACGCGTTGAAAACGAAATCAACAATTTCGTAGTTTTGCTTCGATATTCGAAACAGTCATTCAGCAAATTTGTGTGAAAAACATAATCGATTCTCAGAAACAAACTAAACTAACAGACAGTAAAGCACTTTATCAATGACAAAAGATTTACTATTGTACATCCAACAAATCTAAACGTACAAAATTTCTGATTCGAGATTGACATAAATATTTTTAATGCTCTTTTTTTTTGTTTCTTTTTTGTGCGGGTCCAATAGATCCACACAATTATAACCACATCAGCTCTAGAGAACTAAACGCGTCGCCTGATCGGTAAATATACCCTTACTTGCTGCCACACCTCGTGACGTCCTCGTGGAAGTACAAGCGCGTGCGTAATGTGTACACGCGCACGGACATACTTTTTCAATGCTCGTGCATGGCGGTGGTGTCGATCGATGTCGGTCGATCGACGAATTTAGCCTGTCCACTTTCACAATCAAACTCGATCCAAAACGTTCCCTTTTCTACAGGTTTGTTATTTCCTCGTTACTAGTCGGAAATTACTAAAGAGATACTTGAACAATTAATAATCTGTACAGACACATATATGTATGTTCTTCGTGATCATATCCTGTTCTTTTTCATACTAAACTGTTATTGAATTTGTTTGTAAGACAACTAATGCATGTCACGGGCACGCGACGAGAGTGATAGATGAACGATTCTGCTAGATCCAGACTTTCTAATAAATCGCACCTCTGACGCCTTTGTGACCGCAGGATTCAATTATAGACAATTAAAATAGATATAGAGAGAGACATTAACATTTCAGTCAGATCTAGTATGCATCTCGATATGAGTCTAACACGTTATGCTTTTTTAAACATTTGTAGCTTTACAACGCCTTGTTCGTTTTTCAGCTCCGAAAAAGCCGCTGTCACCGTTCGCCAAGTTTCGTCAACTCGATAAACAAAATAGCGCCAGTTTGTCACCAAGGTGAGAATAGAAATTAAAATTGCATACAATTAAGGATTACATGGTCGCTTTATCGCGACAGGGGATCAAAGAAGAATCTAATAGAGCAAAAAAAGACATCGCACTCTCGCAAGAAAAGTGACACAAGTCAAAATTCTTTGAATTTCGTGCGAATTATGTGTGCATTATGTTTTAAATCACCGATGAGATACTAAAGACCGACATCTTTACGGGAGTTCTTGTTAATATTGAAGTAATTTTTTAAGAGTTAAAATCTGATAATATTGTACTAATTTTACGATTTATTAGTTTAGTAGACATATTTATGCATTTAGAACTCAATAATACTCGATTTTTCTTTAAAATTGTAATTTCAGTGTTATCGTCAAAGTTTGATTATCAACAAAGATGATAATTGCAGAGAAAAAAAAATGTAATTTTTCTGCAATATATAGGATATTATAGCTTTACAAATATGCATATTTATTTATGGGACATTTATGTAATAAAAAATCATGAATTTAATAACGTATGAGCCAAATATTTATGTTAATAATAGTAAATTTATATCAATTGTCGATAATGTCAGCATTCTTTAATTATCTTCGGGCCCTTGGGGCCCTTTTTATACCGCCGAAAATTTGCCCATTTGACTTTAATAGTATCTCGTCGGTGTCTAAATATACCGGTTTTTAATCAGAAAAACTGATATAAGTTTAATTCGAACAGAAAAGAAATTATAAACTAGAAAAATCAAAATAAGGATAGTTTTTAAAAGTTTAACATAACACCATAACACAATTAAGTCTTCTTTCAATGCATGAACAGTGGAAAAGTAAAAAATTATACCTTGACAGAAGGGTTAATCATTATACTTCTAGACTTGAAACTTGTAACAAGCAATTCGTGTTTAACTCCAGTTAACTTATTTTTAATACATTTAAATATATTTTATAATTAATTTTACAACACATAACTTTCTTTCCTTTTTCTTGAAAAATTTTATATTTTTAATTTATGTAACTTTTCTTGTAGGGGGGAGAGATAGAATATGCTAATTTAACAATCAATTCCTATTTTGCTGAGTGATTCATTTTTTGTTTCTGAATTGTTTATTTAGCCCTGTAAAATCACCGGCAACGGAATTTCGATTCAAATTTACCGAACCAACTGTACGAGATAACGCTGCGCAAATTAAGGAGCGATTACTAGCATGGTGCCGATCAAAAACCAAAGAGTACGAGGTAAGTGCATCGTGGGTATAAAATAATATTGATCCATTATTCATGAATTTTTACGACATCTTGGTTATCTATCAAAGGAAAGCGCGCTGCAGTTAATGAGCTATTGAATAAAAACTCCATCTGTTTCAGAATGTACAGCTTGACAACTTCTCGACAAGCTGGAACAATGGTTTAGCATTCTGCGCGTTGATCCATCATTTTAGACCGGATGCTTTCGACTACAATTCTCTACGTCCAGAGAATCGTAGGAAAAACTTCGAACTCGCTTTTACAAAGGCTGAGTAAGAGCTCCAAATTTTTCATTTTGCATCGAGATGCTATAATTGTTCTTGTTTTCCAGAGTTTTATTAACTAATTATTTCTTTTTTTTTTCGAGTATGGCCTTCTTTGCTTATTAATTGTGTTAAACATTTCTTTTGTTGTTCACAAACCAAAGAAGTCTTCTTTCTTGTAGCGAAGTCGCTGGAATCGCGCCGTTACTTGACGTCGAGGACATGGTGATGATGCAACGACCAGACTGGAAGTGCGTCTTCACGTATGTTCAGTCCATCTATCGTCGCTTCAAGGATGAAGACTAGCAGCTATAGTTGATAAATCGCAACAGCAGCAACATATAATTCCACTTCATGCCAGGACATAACAATGACGCTACTCGTAGAACAAAGTCTTTTTTTACTTCACATGTGATTGGAAGAACAGTAGTCATTTCTTTTTGTATACATATATAGTCAAATTGATGTTCCTATAGTCAAATATAAATCAAATCTGGTAGTAAGCGTAGAATTTCAGACAATGTCTTATAACAGTGATGATGATGATGATGATGATGATGATGATGATGATGATGATGATGATGATGATGATGATGATGATGATGATGACGACGACAATAACGGCAATAATGATGATGAGTCATTGAAATCAGTCTCACAATCGTGTGAGAAGCTAAATGCATTCGTACATAATATGTCTTATATTTTCATATCTCGTATATTTTCCTTACACGGCACGCAGCCTTACTAACGTGTAACTATAACTTTCTACCGATGCTGATACAGCTAATAATTTTTATGAAAATATGTGGATAGCATTCACGTGTAAGTGAAACGCAGAATCGCTGCCAAGTGACACATTAGCGTCGATGTTGTAAAACTAATTAAATATCTTAAGAGTACCAAAGAGATTTCTCTAATAAATATGTGATATGAGAAATTTTCAGTTGTTTTCCTTCATCATTCTCCTCATGCTTTATTGATTTGGTAATTTAATTTTTGCGATTCAAAAATTCTCAAATTTGTAACATTTTAATATTTAGTATATTATTTCTATATAAATCAGTATATAAATATACTGATTATATTCTGTCAATTTTTTTAAATTTAAATAGCAGGAAAGATTGGAGATTTTTATCAACATTAGATACAGTTACATGCCATTTTATCAAGCGTAGATATATTCATTGTTACTTATAATTCTCAGATAACATGCATGTTTAAAAAACGTTATAAAGACATTTTTTAATTGGTACATACATATCTAAAAGATATCTAAAGGATTTCTAAAAGGCATCATGTAAAGACGTCTTCTAGACAGGGTTCTTTTATAATAATTTCGAGAAAATGTCCAACCATTAATATTTTGTACCTATATCGCAATATTTAAATTCTCAAAAATATAACATTAGGAAATTATTAATCAAAAAGTGTTTATTAAAATTTCAGGGATTTTCAAAACTTTAACCTTGGCTTATAGGCACATTCTGTCGTCAAAGATTATAAATTTAGAACAAAGAGATGCACACAGGCACCGACTAATAAATCTGTTCTTTTTAGCTAAAGTTCTCGCACAGTTCTTTCTTTCTTTTCTTTCCACATTAGAGAGAAAAAGAGAAAAGATGAACGTTGCAAAAAGTTCAACTAAAAAAAACAGGCTTTTTACCTCCACTTTTGCTCTATCGAGAGCCACAAGGAGTAGAATCTCGATAGTAGCACCGACGAGATACTATTAAAGACCGTCAATTCTGAGCAAATTTTCGGCGGTATAAAAAGGGCCCCAAGAGTCCGGAGATAATTGAAGAATGCTGACATTATCGACAATTGATATAAATTTGCTATTATTAACATAAATATTCGGCTCATACGTTATTAAATTCATGATTTTTTATTACATAAATGTTCCATAAATAAATATGCATACTTGTAAAGTTATAATATTCTATATATTGCAAAAAAATTACAATTTATTTCTCTGCAGTTATCATCTCTGTTAATAATCAAACTTTGACGATAACACCGAAATTTCAAAGAAAAATCGAGTGTTACTGAGTTCTAAATGCATAAATACGTCTGCTAAATTAATAATTCATAAAATTAGTACAGTATTATCAGTTTTTAACTTTTAATTACTTCAATATTCACAAGGACGCGAACTCCCGTAAGGATGGCTTTAATATCTTGTCGATAGTGGTGGCTAAAACTCCAAAAGAGCATTCTAGTGAGTTGGCGTTGATCTATAACGTACTTTTAACCTAACCTAACTTCATTTTAACTTATCCAACGTAACTAGTTAAAACAGCTATCAACGGCAGATCTCAGCAGACCTCAGTTTATCTTTATTCGTGTCGTTGCATATCGTAAAGAGATTTTATACTGAGATTTTGAAACTATCATTACTTTATATTCAAAATAATTTGAATTGTGTTTTTTCTCACGTGTATTTATCGTGAGATATACGGTTTATTATACGATGTCAATGGAGACCGTACCAAAAGATTTACGTGGATTAAGAGCATGTTTGGTATGTTCTTTGATTAAGGTGCGTATATAAGGTACATAAATCTTATGTTGCGTTATATATAATATGATCGGCCCTTCAAGATTATTATCGTAACATCTACAGAACTTATTTATAAATGCCTTCCATGACACAAATGAACATAAGTATTGTTCTGTCTTTGTTACTCATGGAATGCGAAGATAGAATGATAGTGAATCGATTTGTATCCATAAATGGAAGGCACCCTATATATTAGAATGAATGCAATCATATTTTTACTCCACAGACTTTTGATCAATTCGAATTTGATGGATGCGACAACTGTGATGATTTTCTTCGTATGAAGAACAATAAGGATAATGTTTTTGACTGCACAAGTTCCAACTTTGATGGGTAATATACTGCAATAGATATACAATTGGCTACGAATGACCTCTTTTTTTATGTACATTAGCAGCTTTGTGAATATTTAGTATTAGCTTTTTTGAGCAAAAGTTATTGAGAATTTGTTGTACACTGTAAAATGTTAGTGAGACTTTAAGTCGTGTAAGACGTTAGATATTTTAAATATAATTTTTTACTTGTTTCTCCAATTTTAATGGCTAGCAATTTAAAATAACAATGTCTCGTTTTAATAAATAATTTTATTACGGAGAAATAAAAAAATGATTTCTCGCTATGTATTTATTTTATCTGCTTATATTTTATTTTCTATATTTCAGAGTAATCGCGCTAATGAGTCCAGAAGATAGTTGGGTGTCCAAGTGGCAAAGAATAAGTAAGTATTACGATAAATATACTAATATAACTCAAGTAATTAACATTCTTTGATGAATTATTATTAATATATAATTGTAATTTTCTGATTATATTTCAAGAATTTTTCAAAATATTTTGTTATTTCAAATTTATGTATGTATATATAGTAAATCAATAGAAAAAGAATAAAATTCCTAAAAATTAAAATAGTATAGAAGGCTGAGACTATAAATTCTAAAATTATTTATAATATGTGTTTAGATATTTTAATAAATATATTTATTTCTGAGATTTTCATTTTAAACGTATAATACATTTATACAGACATATTATTCTTACAAATGCCAGTATGTATTTATCTAGGAACATACTTATGTGCGTATATATTATAAAGATTTGTTTTAGTAGAATGCTATTCGCGCAAACACTTTCAGAATTAAAATTGTATCTCAGTCTATATATATATATGTATGTATAATTACGTCGAGAATGGCCAATGTTAATGCCGAGATTCTATTTTTTTTCAGATCGTTTTTGTAAGGGCGTCTACGCCATATCAGTATCAGGACGATTACCAGCTGGTGTCATCAGAGAAATGAAGAGCAGAGGAATAGTGTATAGGCCGCGCGATACGAGTCAACGTTAATTATATTGAAATTTCTATTTAAGATGTAAATATTGAACTTTTCTTAATACTGCATTAGAATTAGAGCAATTGAAATACGATCATTGTTCATTTTGTTAAGCTAAATATATAAATATTTTTGCTAATTTAATATCGTATGACTATGTTATATTAAGAATTTTTGTAAAGTATAAGTCTCTATAATAAACGATTTTAATCAACATTGAATCTCCACTTCACTTTGTTTATATACATATGTGTCATTCATTAGATTAAATGCAAATTGTATCAGAACTCCATTTTTAAAGATCACTTTTATGTCGAATTCTCCTATTTATCTTAAATGTCTGAATAGTATATTTTTGTTTTTGAGTTTTTGAAAACCTTTCAACATGCAGATTAACATTTAAATATGGCTTCCTGGACATATAGTCGATTGACAAAGTAAAGAATATCGCATTACTGGCAACTGACTGCTTACACAATTGAGCCATAAATTTGCGCATGTTACATGATAATTATTATCGTTATATACGACTCGACCACTCGTGATAACTGTTAAACACAAGGAACAAGATATACATTCTCCTTGATGTAATGGCCAAGCTGGTAGTTCAGTGACGATCTGAAATATTAATATAGAAATATTAATATAGATGTATCATAAAAGTTTGAAAATGGATATTGGAAAAAAAGGGTATTTTTTTTATATTTGTACACGTGTCTTTACATTAGTACATGTAAAAATATTAACAGCATTAATATCTAAAAATATTAATAGTTCATTTAAGCAATACTTACTGGTATGTTTGCATAAAAAGGTTCCATTTCAGCCCAGATCCGATCAATGTCCATTAAAAGGTCATCAAACCCAATAATATTTATATCCAACTCTTTGTATGAAAAATTAACACGTCTACAAACAGCTGCAACTTCAGCTAATTCTAATAACAAAATATATTTTATATTTTTATAGTTTTATTATTCGTAATAAATAAATAATATAGGTAGTACATATACATGTTTAATATTATATAAAATATATTATTGAAACGAACACTTACGGCAAAGAAAGTTATATCCCTGGACTGAATTTAAAACTTCTTGCAGAACTAATTCTGACGTGATATTGGTAAATATATTGGCTGCAACTTGCAGTAATAAAACACAACTTTCCATATATTGTTTCCATTCCCAATACACAGTCTGCAACAGAGAAACACTTGATAGTAAATATTAAATGATTATTTCCTTTATATCTCAACTTCCTCAACAATTCAATTGCACATGGTTACCTGCTGTGGAGCTTCTATAACTTGTTCTTCCTCTACATTAGAAGGCAAAAATGATTTAAGATCTAAACTAGGCACAGATCCAGAACGTGGCAGTGCTTCGGATGGACCACTAATCAATTCTATACTATTTATCGAAATAGCATCTTCTTTCTGAACATTCTTTCCTAAGAATAATATATACTACTAGATTCAAGCAAAATGACACATAAGCGAAAATAAAACTGTTGCAAGTAATGAGAGCACTAACCTGTCTCTACAAATTGTGCTTCAATTCCATCATCAAGTTTTAGATTATTAAACGACTCAGATACTTCAGATACAAAGTTCATATCTGCTAAATTATTATTATCAGCGTTAGCGTGCGTTTTAAACTCAAAATCCGCAAACATACTAAAACTTTCAATATCCAAAGCATCTGATATTGTGGAATTATTAGGTGGTTGTTCTGCCGACATAAATTCCCCGAATTCGTCAGCCGATTGATTATTAAAAGTTAAATCTAAGCTCATATCATTTACAACGGACGTTTCTTGAACTAGTTCACGCAATGCACTGTATTTATCTTCAACTTGTTGTAAACTCATTAAATCTTGTTGAACAGAATCAGACATTTCTACTGTAATGGCCTACAGATAAATTTATATACATCAGCAAAAATCATATGACATTATACTTGTACAGACATAAAGATATACTTGCTACATAATTGACAAGCTTGTTATTTACCTTAGGTGCTAATTCCACTTTAGGTAATACCTCCTTATCGCTGCTGACAGGTTCTGCCATACCTGCCAGACTATTAAAACTGTCGCTATAATCTTTAGGCATGTCGTTATTTCTAATCACAGTGTCCTTAAGTATTACTGTTTTGGACTGATTCTTTATTCCACATTTAGGAAACAGATTAGATGCAGATTCTACTATAGGCTGATCTTTACTTTGATATGGCAAATTTGCAGGTGCAGGTGTACGAATTTGTAGATTAGTGTGTATGGCTTTTGTTCCAACAGTAGAAGTTTTCTTGACTTTGTCAACTGGTTTTTTCACTCCTAGATTATGATTAGCGAGTCTGCTACCAATCGCGGAACCTTGCTTGCTATCCCATATTGGCATAGTGGAAACACTGGGAATCGGGGCGCTTTGAAACTCTGTAAATTCATCACAGGACTCGTCGAAGGATGATACAGACGGAACATCAACTTGAACACGCAGATTTTGTTTTACATCTTTGAACAAATTATTGACATTACTCCCGGTTATACCAGGCATGTGAATCTTGCTATCAAAATAAGATAATTTTCCAGTACTGCCAGAGAAGGGTATATTTGCATCAGGCACTGTGTTTACTTGAATTCTAGCTTTAGTTTTTCCCTTAGTCTCAGGAATGTATTTTCCTTCTATACTCATATTACTGGGTTCCTCATAGTGCTGAAGTTTTGATGCATTCGCCTGTGCGGCAGGCTGTAAATTCATCAGACATTCTATGTTTAGGTAGGGCGTTGGTGGAAAAGGGAGTAAATGCAATATATCAAGACTGTTGAAGGTGTAGGACGTCTGAGCAGCTGCCACGAGAGCCAGGACAATGTACAGTTCTTGCTCAGTCAACTGTCCGGCATACTTTTGATTGGCCAGGCTCCATATGTGACCGAGCACCTCCATAGGGAGCTGGCTAGTAAGTAATAGCGGGAACACCTTGTTGGTGTCGACGAGCAGCTCGGTCTGCATGCCATTCGACCTGACCCGGTCCTCCCGCACCGCCTCCCAGACCATCTTGTAAACCGGCGGTAAGGTGGTCGAGTTGGTCCACAGCCAACTCGGCAGCTGATTCAGCTTCTTATTCGCGTGACTCTTGTTCATATTCTCGCGCGATGAGGTTCGGACGGCAAATCTCACCCTGCTACGAACGTCTCCTGTGGATTACGTGAACTCGTCGAGCAACATGAGCCCATCGTTCAAACTGCTAGCTTGATACATACATCGATATTGGCATTACGAAGAAAAAGAGGTCGAGCGTCTTTTCAACATCGGTCGCACGAATGCCAGAGACTCGTAGTGCGAACGTTACCCTTTTTCCACATGGTTGGTGCTTATCGTGCGACAAACACGCAACGGAACGCGTTTATAACTCGCCCTTACGTCAACTGACGAGAGTGTGACGTCGATCTCGTTACCAGTCCCTTCACCTCTTTAGTCCCTTGACACCTGCCACTCCAGTATAATGTACTTTAATTTTCTTGGATCCGCGTTCATTTTACATACACTTTCTGCACTCCAGATTGCTTGATCTTTCTTTCTCTCTCAGCGTTTAAATATACATCCATTCTACTTCAAAAATTCGAAAAATTGAAGAGGAAGAGGACAAAAAAATTCACAACAAGAAATAAATCTGATAAACCTATTTATTTTACTTTTTATCTTTCGAACAATCGAATACACTACATTTTGTTTCAGAAAATGTTATGAAACACAAGTAAAATAAGATAGATTTATTAAGACTATTTCATTTACGATTTTTAGCATTTTTCGCTGACTATGATTAAACTCCGAAATTTATTGGCGACATTAATATAAAATTAATTTTTTATTGTTTAATACGTTTAAAAAAAATTAGATTAGGAACAGTGGCGGATATACGGGACGGATGAGGGGAGGGAAGCATGAGAGTCATAGCCTCTCCCCTCCCCCTCAGTTTTCTTTTTTAAAAATATAGCAAAAGATTAAATATACTTTTAATATTTCTAAAATACTTAATTACAATTTTAATATTCTAAAAATATTTTTTATTTTATGAATTTTCTAAATATAAAGAAAATATAGATTCTTTTTTATATTCCAAAAAGTAAATAAATGAAGTCTGTGTGCTACAGCTTTTATTTTCCGCCCGTTCGCGCTGGGTGAACAGAGTTTGGTATTGGTGTCACCATTATAGATCACCGACGAGATATAAGTCACGTGGCACCGAAGACTAAGGCCTGAATCAGACTACGCATTGAAGAATAAGATGGAAGATTAGAAGATTGAAGTTTGATCAATCAGAACAAAAGGAGTCGAAATTTCTTTGTTATCGTTGGTGAAATTTCAATCTTTAATCTTTAATCTCAATCTTCAATGCAAAGTCTGATTCCGGCCATAAGGCGAGTTCAAGTTGACAAAGCGCCTAGGTCTACTCGTCAAGCAATTAAATATGATTGGTTGGATCTACAGGTAAGAATCAATTATGCTCATTCGCTCGGCAAGCATGCCTATTCGCATTGGATTCGCCCGTAGAAAATGGACTGCGCAATCCGTATCTAAAGCCGATATTCAGTCCAGTCTTATTTCAAGACCGTCTTAAGTAATGTCTTAAGACGCTAATGCAGCCTTCTGATTGGTCCGTGATTTCTCAAGACCGTACTTAAGACGGTCTTGAATATAAGATCTAATTATAAAT